AAAAATTCCCCATAACCCCATGATAGGAACTGGATTCAAAAAATGCATTCCAATAACCTGTGAGGATTTAAAAAAAAAAAAAAAAAAAAAAAAAAAAAAATTAAATGCCCGGATCTTAAATTGAAATCATACTTGATTCTCAAAAGCACACCTTAGCAGGCTTCTTCGTAGCAGCTGCAATTTTCGTGATGCTAATGCTACTTGTGTTAGTGGCCAATATAGTATCATCGCTCGTAATTTGATCCAATTTCGCAAAAATTTCACGTTTTAAATCTACATCCTCTGGGATGGCCTCAATAATAAAATCCATGGTAGAAAATTCCGAAATCGATGTCGTTGTCGTAATGCGTGATTTTGTTTCCGTTGCTTTATCACGCGTAATTCGATTTTTGACGATATCCTTTTCAAGTAAACCATCTACATTTGATGATTTGATATTTAGAGATTTGGTGATAAAAGAAATGTCTATGTGAAGTTACGTACCTACAAAGGATGACCCTTTCTCAATTTGTTTAGGATTCGAGTCCAATACCTTAACGGGCAATTGAGCAATATGGGCCGTTACCAAAGCAATACCAAATCCCTAATCAAAATCAATTAATTGGTGTGAAAACCTTCTAAATTAAAGAATAATTTCAATATAATTTACCATTTGGCCTGCTCCGATTACACCAATTTGTTTAATTTCATGATCCTTTATCTCCTTTATAATTTTTAAAAAAATTAGAATAATTCAATTTTTATTATATCTCGATTCTACATTTGATTTACCTTTGATAATAGGCTACTAAATTTTCTATTTTTTACGTATCTGCCAACTTGACCAAAATTAAAATTTCTCTTGCAAAAATAATTCATTTTTGACATTGATCATAATTTGGACGATCATCAATTAATGATCGGCTGTTGATAAATCAAATTTTTTCTGACATTTTGTTTTTTGATCGTCATCTTTTAAATTTGTACTTTACATACTAATACGAATGACAATAATTAATGTTGTTGCGATTTTAGATGATTTATATCCCGGTAAATAAACTGTTTAAACTATTCAAAATTATTTAAAATTGTCTAATTTTTCAACATTATATTATAGTAATGATCATAAATATTTGATCTTTGATAATTCTTAAAGTTAATTAATAACGCCTATTAAAATTTTTCAAAATTCAAGTACAATACCAATGTTGATCACATGTAAAATTATAAGCTTGTATAACATATAAATCAAAATTAGATAATCAATGAATTTTGACTGTAAAATACTGATATTTTTAATAAATTAAATAAAATAATTTTTTATATAAATTTCAATAATGACTGAAATGAAATTTTAAAAATATAGCTACTTTATATCTATTATAATAAAATTACAGTCATATCTCGATATAACGAAGTTACTGATCTAGCTGATTAGATTTTCATTATAAGAAACTTCATTGATGCTATAACAAATTATTTAGTATATATAACAAATAATTCGTTATAGTAGATGATTATTGATTTATATAATTTTACTATGATATAATTTTTCTAGAAATATTTCACGTTATTTTGTATATACAATCTGTTAATTATTATATGCCAGTTTTATTAATTAACTTAAATTTTTTTTAAAAAAAATTTAATTTATCATTTTTTTAAAATAAAATAAAAATAAAATAAAATAAAAGAAAAAATAAAAATGAAACGAAAAGAAAACTAAACAAGATGAAAAATGAAATTAAAAAACTAAAATAAAACTATAAAATGAAATTAAGTAAATGAATAAAACTATAAAATAAAATTAGAAATAAAATAAAATAAAAAATAAAATTAGAAAAATAAAATGAAACAGGAAAATGAAATGAAATGAAAAAATGAAATTAGAAAAAATAAAAAACAAAAATTAAATATATGATACAAAAAGAAAAAATGAATTAAACGAATAATACAAAAAAAAATTTTTATTTCTTTGCAGACCTTATAGGCATATCACAATTTCATTATTTATTTTAGTTTTACCTTGCAGATATGTCACAGTTTTGCCTTGCAGGCTCATTATGATTTTGCCTTATATTTTGTATTTACCTCATAGTAAGCAAATCATGATTTCTCCTTTAAGTGTATTTTAATTCTAAAAAAATAAATATATTTAATATAAATCTAAAAAATTATTTAAAAGTTTTTAATTATTACCTGGTCTATTTCAGAGTTAAGTCTTGAAAAAGTTGTATAATTTTTCATAGTATAGATCTACCTTTCACTTTTTCTCACTCTATTTTAATAATTACAAAAGTCTTAAAAGATATTAATTATACTATTTATCATTATATCATTATTCATTTATTTACTTACATTATAATCCTATATTAAATTTCTTTATTTCAACTTATATTAATGAGTTAAATATGCTGTATTATATCTTTAATTGATTTATTGAGCTATACATAAAACAAATTAAAATAGTCAAAATGATTATAATGGTTAAAATAATCAAAATTGATTTTGACTATTTGTTAAAAAATTTAAAAAGTCAAAATCAATTACGAAGATTGAAATTAATTGTAAGAGTTGAAATACATTACGAGGATCAAATCAATTATAAGACTCAAAATATATAAAGTCAGCCAAAATTATGATCACGTGTTATTACACACATTTAAAAAAGGAAATTTTTTCCTTGTGAAAATCTAAATAAATGTTATACTAAAGTATTACAAAACTCCTAAAAAGAAAATTTTAATATTGATTATTTAATTCAGATTGAAATAATATAATAAAGACGAAATAGGTAAATTTTACTAGCATTAAGCGAAAATAAATAAAATTTGTGAGGATAAATGGTAATAAATAGATTTAATATGAATTAATATAATGAGAAGTCTAGCTAAATATAGCAAATTATGAAGAAAATTAATTACCCTACAAAAGACCATAGTTTCTTATTCATCACTATTTATATCACATAATATGTTGTTAACCCTATGCTTAACCCGTCGAACTTAGGGTAACTATAACTTAATAACAGGGAGTAATGTGCGAGAAACTACTAAGTTACTGTGAATAAGTCCTATCACAATCAATCTTAGGTTTATACTTTTAGACGAGAAAATAACTTTAACAACTTGTAAACATGATAAACACAATTGACATGTTAAAGGATTTTTAATATGTGTAGTTTAAAAAGAGATTCCTTTATTGTAAAAATTTGTATCCT